ACAATTTCCTATGCATTTTTGTATTTTAATTTGCTTACTCCAAACTATTCTGATCACAAAATGAATGGAAAAAAAAAAACCCAAACAAAATCGCAACCCACAAGTAACAGCATTATAGTGCTTCATAAAGTCTGTTGCAATGAACTTGCCTGTTGTGTGCATGTAATGGTGAGCTTAACTGAACAGTACGAGAAACACTCCACAGTGTGCTATAAACATGCCAGTATCAGTAGCACATGGGTTCTCTTTTCCGCAAAGAAGGTTTTTAGTCTGACTCCTGTTTGCCACCATTAAGTTCCAGGTAAAATAATATCCATCACTGTTGGGTATCTGCAATAAAAGTACATTACAGTCACTGGATAATGACTGATGACACTCTAGTTTCCAGCTCCATCAGGGACCTCCTGCCAGATCTTGGACAAGTCTTATTCTTGCAGCTCTACATGTAAACACCAAGTACATAAATAAGTAAATGTGGTAAGCACAGCTAAACAGTTAATAACAAACCGAAACTTCTCTTCCTCTAGTGATCATCCATCAGTGAATACTGATGATATTTCCTTTTCTCTACTCTATGTGTAGTACATTCAAAGGATAAACCCAACAAATGGACCCATCTTTCTACATTCACGGTCTCAAGTGGACTGTAATCCTCGCTTGGGGTGGGGCATGAGGGCACTGCTCTAATACAGTAGCAATGATAATTCACAAGATTATTTTTTTCTCTGTCGCACTCCCATTAAATCTTACCAGAATCTCAACTAGCAAATGATCTAAAATCCAAAACTTTCTGTTGCTCTTGTGCAACCCTACTGTTAACATGTCTGTACAACAGAGCATGAGTAATTTAAAGCAAGGACCATCCTTAAGACAGAAGGAAAAATGTTGTGAACTTGGAGACATGCCATCTTAAAGCTCCAGAGTATTTGACATGCAACCTCCTTGATAAATTTGTAGCAAAAGTTCTATTAGCATTTTTACTCTGGAACTCAGGAGTCCATTTTAACATATTAAAAAAAAAAAACACAACAAAAAAACCTTATTACATTAAATTAGCCACATGAAAAAAATAGTAAAAAAATGGATGGGTTTAAAGAATGCCTCCAAAATACCTCAACAGTTCAGGTATCTTGTGAACTGTTTCACTAAATGGTTATAATTGACCACACAATTTAGTCACATAATCTAACTTCCTGCATTTGCTATTAAGAACACTATTTCTAAATTACTTACACCCATAGTCAGTTAATTCCTATACAAGGAGTAAACTAAAGGCTCCAAGCTCTCAGATTTCCCAAAGTGACTTGCTCTGGATGGGCTTTGAATGCTTAGATGCTTTTAGATGCTTTTTACTGTAGGAGAAAAAAGGTTGCCATCATCCCTGTGACATGAAGCAAGTGAATCTATGTTTACTTATGGTCAGAAGCACAGCAACTGCTAGAACAACACACACTCAGTGCTTACTCATCTCTCAGTGCAAGAGCACAACTTGTCTCAACACAGACGGGACTTGCACAAGGCAAGGGGAAAACTGAGCAGCAGCAGCGTCTGCGGTGCTGAGGAGGAACCAGGCAGGAAACTCCTGCGCAAATCAGGGGCACGACCTGTGAGTGCAACACAGCACAGCTGTGTCAGCCTCGATGCACAGCACGGGGCTCGGCTGAGGGCAGCGCTGCAGGAACCACTGACCCACCGTCCCGTGGGCTCGAAGCTGTCGGCGTTACCGGTTCCGCAGCTCGTTTGGCCTGTCCTGACAGCTATCTTGGAGAAACGTTTTCGTACAAATCAGTTTTGAGAGAAGTAAATCCACCTGGGTAAACCAGGTCTTCAGCGAAGGGGAAGATTGCTCGGGGAATACCAAAATCCTGCTCGTGTTACCAGGGCTCTCTCTAATCCTGCTCTAACCTGCGTGGCTGCAGCTACACCTGGGGCTGCTCCTCCTCACAGGCACAATCTGCCTGTTCTTCCAGTCAAACGTCTCCACTGTCACCTCTTTCTCTTCCCCTCAGAACCACGGCAGCGCTGCTGGGGCTGCACTTCTCCCAGCGCCTTCCTCGGGCAGCGTTTCCCCTTCCGTGCGGACAAAGCGCCCGAGGTAGAGACGGCGGGCGGCCTGAGGTGCAGAAGCTGCGGTTCCCTCAGCGGCGCCGACAGGTCGGGCCTGGGCCCGTCCTGCCGCCCGGAGCAGGCAGCGCTTCGTCCTGAGGCTGCAGCTCCCCCCCCGGGAGAGGAGGGGCCCGCAGCCCCGGGCGGGGCTCTGGGTGCGGGGCCGCGGCCTCGGGCGGGCCC